TGTAGAGGTAGAGGTGCTAACGAATCCAGAAGATTAGGATTTGAGAGAGCTCAAAGAATGGATGCACTTGCGCCATTGCAAACGATTTTGAGCCATGTCGTTCAAGGTCTCTAACCATCGGTGACTTTGTCTCGCAGACCCCAACCAGGTAGTCGACAATTACCGACATGGCTAAGTCCATTCGTCAATGATTTTATGGATTTCTGCCATGTTTTGGTCTGGCCGCCCCTAACTTTCTTCCAACCTACTCCTACACCACTAAACATAGCTCGTCGCGGCAGTCGGTGGTTATGCATACGTAACACATGTGTCACAACCACCTCAACTGATGAAGTTTCACCACTTCACCACCACATCATCACCATCGTGAAACATAGACTTTGGTAGTTTGCACATGTACTACGAATGTCGTCCTAGTGAATTCCACATTGTGTCTATTATTTGTCAACGCTGAGATCGGTTTGGAAAAAGTCAAGAGATGGTCAGGATATGATGTGATGTCGCCGTATGAAAGAAAGTTGTACATAAATGGTATCTAATTAGTCTTTCATGACTCTCTACTTGGAATCGTAGAAATGATACAACCCACTGACTGACTTCAAGTGCTGTCAGAAAAGGCACAAAGTGAAGGTCACTGCTGATCCTGCTGTAACCTTCTTTTAATTTCTTTACGTCAATAAATGGAACTTCTTTAACCGCCGACAAAATGTAGAATCTTCTGACCACCTTAATCAACAATGCAAGCATGTTCGAATTGTGGTTCTCCTCCTCGAAACGCCAAATAATGCTTTATGATTGGTAGTAGTAATAGGGAGTGAAGTAGTTGAGGGTGTTGACCGCTTCACTTATTTTGGGGAGTCTCATCAATGCTGAGCTAATGGCCTGATGTGTGACGAAATCTCGGCATGAATACAGAAGGTTCAACTAGCTTTTGTCAACTTGCGTCACTTACAGTGTAGGGGAGGTATCCGTTTGCTAGCCAAGTGACGAGTAAGAGTTTACTGCACAGCAGTCCGTTCCATCCTACTACATAGGTGGAAAATACGGTCACTAAGAAGCGAGGATATTTCCTATAGCTTTTAAAACCTCATTGAATTGGAGGACTGGAGATCGTAGGTAACCGAAGTGTTGCTGAAGGCCAGTTGAACTACTCCCGGTAATGTTCTGCCCATCGATCCAATCTCCTGAATTGAGAATAAATAAAATTTCCATCCTTTTCAGCGATAATCTCACTAGCAATCGGATTTCTAATACCAGTCTCCTTGATAAGTCTGAATACTTGTCTACTGTTGCCTATCATCCCTACCTTTTCCATTTCTCTTGCTTTCGCTACCCAGCACTGTTCATGATCATTGCGTAAGCTTCTTGTCAGCCTACACTTAAGCTGCCCGACCGAAGCTGCTACCTTGACGTGGTGGTCGGGCTTGCCTATCGTGATGACCCCTACCCGAGCTATATTGGCTGGAACATATGTTCCTGAAGGTTCTACCATGCCAGGCAGGTCGATTCGAGAACGGTGAAACTAAAAGCAGCTACTCAAGATCTGAGGGCGAAGTCGTTCTGCTGACTGTCAGTGGAGGGGTGTGACAGTAGTAAGGTGTTTCCCTCGGACAACAAGCAGCATCTGCAGCGATGTTGCCTTCTCACAAGGAAGGAAGAGGGGTTAGAAAAGTTCGAGCCTAAAAATGTCACACCTCACCCTACCTTACGGATTTCCGTCTCTGGCGGTAAGGGCTGCCCACTAAGGGCTTTCAAGAGCGGAGCTAATACTCAAAAAACCCTTCATAAAAATGCCGTGCGTGACCGGCCTCAAGCAGTTGTCCCTTGGGCTCTGCGGTCACGCTCTCAGGTGTCTAAGACCGACACTAATCTACCTTCCTTTTCAGGTTCCTCAAGAGACAACCTTCCACGGTGTGGGCAACCGGGAAGTGACTACCGCTCTCATATCCGTAACACAGCTTAAGCTGACTTCGCTCCTCATCAATAATATCTCTCAAAAAATCAAACAGTATCTTTACGTCTCATACAATAATTATAATTATCAGAGCTTTACACTCTATGATTGCTAAGTTCCATTGGCGATTGCTTTTTTTATTCAAATTGTTTTCATCTCATCATCAGTTAATAAAAAAATAAAAATTAAAACCCGTATGTATATATTATACATGTGATCCACGTGTGCACATGTCTAATCAATCGATCCTGTCCTATTTTCAGGTATTAGCTTATGCTATTCAAAAATCCGATATGGATTTAAGACGTATGTTATATGAAAATATTGTACTATCCGGTGGTTCAACACTATTCAAAGGTAAGTTCTATGGCGGGTTTTTTTTCCCCTCTTGATTTATACCATATGTGTGTGTGTGCACAAACACAGGTAATACTCTTAATATGTTACGTGTAACAGCAAATTACTTACTTACTTACTTACTTACTTACTTACTTACTTACTTACTTACTTACTTACTTACTTACTTACTTACTTACTTACTTACTTACTTACTTACTTACTTACTTACTTACTTACTTACTTACTTACTTACTTACTTACTTACTTACTTACTTACTTACTTACTTACTTACTTACTTACTTACTTACTTACTTACTTACTTACTTACTTACTTACTTACTTACTTACTTACTTACTTACTTACTTACTTACTTACTTACTTACTTACTTACTTACTTACTTACTTACTTACTTACTTACTTACTTACTTACTTACTTACTTACTTACTTACTTACTTACTTACTTACTTACTTACTTACTTACTTACTTACTTACTTACTTACTTACTTACTTACTTACTTACTTACTTACTTACTTACTTACTTACTTACTTACTTACTTACTTACTTACTTACTTACTTACTTACTTACTTACTTACTTACTTACTTACTTACTTACTTACTTACTTACTTACTTACTTACTTACTTACTTACTTACTTACTTACTTACTTACTTACTTACTTACTTACTTACTTACTTACTTACTTACTTACTTACTTACTTACTTACTTACTTACTTACTTACTTACTTACTTACTTACTTACTTACTTACTTACTTACTTACTTACTTACTTACTTACTTACTTACTTACTTACTTACTTACTTACTTACTTACTTACTTACTTACTTACTTACTTACTTACTTACTTACTTACTTACTTACTTACTTACTTACTTACTTACTTACTTACTTACTTACTTACTTACTTACTTACTTACTTACTTACTTACTTACTTACTTACTTACTTACTTACTTACTTACTTACTTACTTACTTACTTACTTACTTACTTACTTACTTACTTACTTACTTACTTACTTACTTACTTACTTACTTACTTACTTACTTACTTACTTACTTACTTACTTACTTACTTACTTACTTACTTACTTACTTACTTACTTACTTACTTACTTACTTACTTACTTACTTACTTACTTACTTACTTACTTACTTACTTACTTACTTACTTACTTACTTACTTACTTACTTACTTACTTACTTACTTACTTACTTACTTACTTACTTACTTACTTACTTACTTACTTACTTACTTACTTACTTACTTACTTACTTACTTACTTACTTACTTACTTACTTACTTACTTACTTACTTACTTACTTACTTACTTACTTACTTACTTACTTACTTACTTACTTACTTACTTACTTACTTACTTACTTACTTACTTACTTACTTACTTACTTACTTACTTACTTACTTACTTACTTACTTACTTACTTACTTACTTACTTACTTACTTACTTACTTACTTACTTACTTACTTACTTACTTACTTACTTACTTACTTACTTACTTACTTACTTACTTACTTACTTACTTACTTACTTACTTACTTACTTACTTACTTACTTACTTACTTACTTACTTACTTACTTACTTACTTACGCCTTTTTACCCCTAGTGATGTATAAGCCGTCGACCAGTGAATCATTTTTCTGGTTAGGACTGCTACGTGATGGGGTCGCTATCCGTATGCCCAACCCTCCTTTATCCACCGGTCTTGGGACCGGCAGTAACACTAGAAGGGCTCCAAGCAGAGTTTAGAACACTGAATACTAGTTAGTCAGTCGGTCAGTTACATCGTAGAACTTCGTACGTACGTACATAAGTTCATGTTGCCACCCCACATTAGCACAGAGACGCAAATGTCAAATCAAATCCCATAGTGATAAAGATATTACAGGTATTAATGGTCATGAAGAAGACTATGGTTTGAAGATATTATTCAAGAAGTATGATTCAGTGAGTGAGATAAGGTTAAAATGATAAAGGTAGAGGTGTTGAAGAATCCAGAAGATTAGGATTTGAGAGAACACAAAGAATAAATGCACCGGCTCCATTGCACACGGTTTTGAGCCGTGTCATTCAGGGTCTCTAACCATCGATTATTATCATCTCGCGGATCCCAACCAGGTAGTCGGCAACTACCGACATGACTCAGTCCACTTGTCAATGACTTCATGGATTTGTGCCATGTTTTGGTTTGGCCGCCCCTAACTTTCTTCCAATCTACTCCTACACCACAAAACATCACTCGTCGAGGCAGTCGGTGGTTAGGCATACATAACACATGTCCCAACCACCTCAACTGACGAAGTTGCAATACTTCATCTATTGATCTGCCATCCCTACCTAGAACTCGTTTCCTAACGATAGCATTGCTTACTCGGTTGACCCATGATATACGAGCAACGCTTCTAAGACATCTTTGATTGAATACTAGTAACCTACGAACATCTTCTACTCTTAACGGCCATGTTTCGTATCCATATAGGAGAACGGAGAGAACTGCTGCACAGTACACCCGTCCTTTGGTTAGCGAACGAATATCTCGCCTACGCCATAAACGGCGTATACTAATTAATACTACCATTGTCAGCTATAACTTAACAATCAACCGTTACATCATCATCATCATCTTTTTCGTATAAAATTTTTTTTCTTTGTAAACCTAGGTTTCGGTGATCGTCTTGTTTTAGAATTAAAACGTTTAGCTCCAAAAGATGCACATTTACGTATATCTGCACCACAAGAACGTTTATATTCTACATGGATTGGTGGCTCAATTCTCGCTTCATTAGATACATTCAAACGTATGTGGATCTCAAAACGTGAATATGACAGTGAAGGTGCACGTGTTTTGCATCGTAAACTACTTTGAACGAACGAACAAAGCGTATTCGTAACTTCAGTTTTATTTTTCTTTTTCGCTTAAAAAATGTATTCATTACTAATAAATTTTCAAAAATAATTGAATATAAACGGTGTGTTTGTGTGTATAAAAGTATAAATAAGACATTTTGGTGTTCTTTCCATTTGGCACACTCATGCACACACTCCGTCAGACACATCAACAACAACAGCTTCTACTGTAACTTCTTAGTTTTCACAGTGATTTTTGAATAATAAACCACCTATTTATCTGTTATTAATGAAGATTTCTGTTTTGTCTTATGATAATGAGGGTTACGGATCTTCTCTCTTCACCACACCTCCATGATCATGTGGGTCTTTCTGTGCGTGTGTGTGTGTGTGCGCGCTCGCGTATCTCCAGATCTGTTCCATTTCATGAAACCGTTGAAACAATAATAATAATAATTATTATATTTATCACTTATATACACATTCTTTCCTTTGGTATTCTCTTCAAAAAGACGCTTCATTACACTTTACTGTACTTCCTCCTCCTTCTGTCTCTGTTTATTCTCGTTACAAATCTAATAAACCGTTATTATTTCGATTTATTCTTTCACTTACTTCTCTAATTGGAGTTTTTTTTCTGATCTTCAGTATCATAATACAATAATACATTTGCATATTGTGACTGGGAGTTCATGTGGGTGTGGGTGGGTGTATGTTCGTTGTTTCCCGTGGTAAATCAACTTTCTTTCTCTTCTGTATAATGAATGATACTTTTTATTCTCTTATCACAACTACGATTGGTTTCATTCCATTTTTTTTTAATTACTGAACTACCTGTTTGTTTGTCTGATGAAACAGTCAGTGTACAGCAGTTTGTTGTTGGTTGTTGTCGGTTGATTGGTTGGTTGTTCATACATAAATGCCCCTGTCCCGCCGTCAAGGTCATGAAAGTCTATTCTCTTGTGTGCATGTGTGTTGTTCCAGCTACCGTTGTCATTGTTGTTGCTGTCATTACAATTATCCCTTCCTTCATTCCTTCTTCGTCTCATTGAAACTCATGATGACCCCTTAACTTAAAGTTATGAATATTCAGTGTTGTGCGATTCTCCCATCTGTCTCTCTCTCTCTGTCTCTTAAAAACAAACACTTGAAAGAATCTGTTTCTGAAGATTGAAGACAACTAAACTTTAGGCTAAATTGTTCATTAATACAAACGATTTCTATGATGTATATTCATTATTATTACTATTACTATTACATAATAACTTGATCTTTACATATCCTCTTTGTGTCACACAATTTCTCATTTTCAAACATATTCTCATGATTATTTATTGATGTTGGTTAACTATGTAACAAAATATATATATACATGGTTTGATGAATAGATCGGATTGTGTTCTTTTCAAGTTTTTTTCTAGGCATGAGATTAACACGGGCTACGTGGTGGTTAGCGTTTTTTTGGCGAGTTACTTCTCTACGAGATGGGGTCGCTAACAACCATATGATCAACTCTCCTCCTTTGTCCGGTTTTGGGACCGGCAGTAACCCTAGAGGGGGGTTCCAGGCGATGGTGGACTATATTGTGAAATTGTGCATGGAAGACAGCTCACAGATTCGTTCTAAGCGGAGAACAGTGGTAGTGGCCAACTGGATTATGAAGACGTCAACATCTGAGAGGAAACACGGAATACAGTGGATTTTTCAGATGATCTAGCTTTTCTATCCCACACATAACAACAAATGCGGGAGAAGATAGCTAGTGTAGCAGTAGGTTTTAACATACTCATGGGGAAAAGCAAGATTCTCCGAGAATTGAAAGTAGGTACAAAAAGAATGGATAGCAATCGAAGTAGAACTGGAAAGTGAAGGCCGGGGACAGAGTAGCTCGGAGAATGCTTGTTGGCTGCCTATGGTAGTTGAGGGGTAACAGGCGTAAGTAACTTGATGGTTAGAGCTAGTCGACACAAAATTCTGCTTCACCATCCAGGTTTCTTATAATTTTTGCACTTATCAATAAGGTATACCAGTAATCTTGAGGTCTTTAGTGGATATGTTGTATTTGAAATAGGGTTCACCACTTTATTGGCCTGCGATCTGACTCCGATTCGGAGAAATAAATATTCGCTTCAATTTCCGTGTACTTCATACTCAGGCAAACCTTGTTTGTACGATGGCGGTAATATGAAGCCAGAAACAGTTTTGAAGATGGATTTATTTCATGGAATCCTCCATGTAGACAGATATGAGAGAATACAAAGTGTAGAAGGCGAGTGAGCCAACTTAGTGCGATCAAGCCTGACCAAGTATTCATAGTCAGACAGAAATAATATGGACATGTGATAAGTGAAGTGAGCAATGCATATATGCACTCAAGTAAAAACAACCAGGGTTACAAACCAATAATTGATGAGGTCGAAATATGAGTGATGATTAACTCGGTAAGAAAAGGTTGATTAGTTTGTCCAAAGGCTGGGACAAACCATGTAGGCTCCATTATTAGTCCACGCACATTCGCAGCCCGAATAACTCACTGGTAAAGTCTGTCATTGCGAAGCTGTGACACAGAATCTAATCTATCAGAGAGTAGCATTTTCCCCTAGCATTACTGGTACACCTTGCTGATGTGTATCAAAAGTCCGTAGTTTCCTGTCAAATGCCCCGAACCACCAACTAGTTTCTCAATATAGTGCACACAATGCTGAGTTACCGAGATCAATATCTGCATCGCACAACTTAGTCGACAGAATTCGACCAGCACTAATAAAAGGACCCGACACACCTGACATTCGTCAGTACTGAATGATTGACCAGATGTAGATTTTACATTTAAATCCTAAATTATAAATCATCGTTAGACTACCATTAGAAACCCACAAGCACTGGACGATCGTTCCGTCATAATATGGGACTCTTCAGCAGTGCATATCCATGACCTCCGAAATCGGACCGAGGACCTTCGATCTGGCGCCCAAACGCTTAACCTCTAGACCACTGAGCCACCATCCAGTATAATTCTCAATACCATATAACTGTAAGGTGATTAGTTCGAACGCTGGATCTTTTACACAAATTAGTTGTTAATAAAAGCCTTAGAGATGTTTTCAATTTCATTTCCAAGCTGAAGTTGAGTTCAGTTACTCATTTTACCTCGTCGAATAGAGCATAAGCTTCTGACCAGCATTTTCCAACCTACTCCGTCCTCAACCTTCTTCTCCAGTTCTATCCAATTGGTGTTCATTCTATTCATGTCTCGCTGCGATTCTCGGTGTAATGTGTTCTTTAATCTTCCACTTCTCCTTTGGCCTTGAAGATTTCAAGTGAGTGGCTGACCTCGTGATGTAGTTTGATCATTTCCACAATGTGTATCTTATCCACTTCAAACGTTTTTCACCTAATTTCTTCTTCAGTTGGAATCTAGTTTGTACTCTCCTACAATAGTTTATTGCTGATGATGTCTGTCAAATGGATCTGTAGTACTTTGCGTAGAAAATAAACTTGCTTAAAAAAGGGATCACTTAAAATCCTACTCATCAATTTTATTATTCGATTATAGGTTTATCTTCAATAAAACGATGTGCTAGTCAATTACTTTTAAGTGTATAGTGTAACATAACTCTACCTGAAACCCTTCTGAGGTTAATGCCGGTACCAAACCCGGAGGAGGATCGGGCGTAAGCTTATCAGCCGCATCCCGCACAAAAATCAATCATAAAAAATAATGCCCTGACAGTTGGAACGTCTTCATTAAAACAAATTGTCGCACCTCCTAGGAAGTCACGCCGTCACTTGGAATCTTCAAGACCAAAAGAACACATTACTCCGAGAATCGGAAGCAGAATGAACACCAACTGGATAGAACTGGAAAAGAAGGCCCAAGACAGAGTTGGTTGGAGAATACTGGTTGGCGGCCTATTACACTCAACGAGAAGTTAGCATTCGTATACTTACGCCTGTTACCCCCAATGGAGAATAGGCCGCCCACCAGCAGCATTCTCCAACCAACTCTGTCCTGGGCTTCCCTTACCAATTCAGTCCAATGTTTGTTCATTCTTCTCATATCTTTCTCTATTTCTCGGTGTAATGTGTTCCTTGGCCTTCCTCTTTTCCTTTTACCCTGAGGGTTCCATGTGAGGGCTTGTCTTGTGACGCAGTTCGATGCTTTTCGCAGTGTGTGTCCTATCCACTTCCACCTCTTCTTCCTGATTTCCTCCTCCTCTGGAATCTGGTTTGTTCTCTCCCACAGTAGGCGGTTGTTGCTGACCATGTCTGGCCAACGAATATAGCATTCGTATAACACTGTAGTGTGCCGATTTCGAGGTGTTCTTAAGTTTCGTAATAAGTTCGTTCAGACTATCGTTACTGAATGACGTCTGACGGTTAATAAATCAGAAGATGAATTCGAAGTATCGTATACGTTTATTGTGGCACACCACAAATAAGAATAGCAGATCACAGACAGACCGGGCAGACACACTAGCGAGCGAATGTGCGAATGAATTAATCAGATTAAAATGTTCGTATATATACAAAGGAAAATGTCTGAGTCATCGTGGTATTTAAGAGATTAACATTAAAGCGAATAGGATGCATATGAGCGTAGGCGTTAAGCGATGCTCAGTCATACCAGCTCATACAAACCATACAATTATAAAAGTCAATGGTACATACAAGTTGTTGCTAAGCGAATGGCTTGGTTAAAGAAATTAATCGAAAGGGCTTAAGCAAATTAAATGTAAGCGGATGCAAATAAATGTGGAGGCACTACAATAGTCCCCTTCCAGCAAACAAGGTTACGAAAATGTCTTTGTTTGCGAACAAACAAAAAAAATCGAATTTGTCGGAAAACATCAAAAGTTTCGGAAGTTAAAGTTATCCTATTCGCATACGTTCGTGAGGTAGCAAAGGAACAGAAGATCAAACAAAAGTATAGCAATGTTTTTTTAGGTTACATCTCAATTTCGAAATACACTAAATGTATCGAAGGCAATAATAGATAAATTAGAGTTTTCGACGTAC